TCATAGTCTGGGTAAGAGATCAGTTATGTCACCGTGTAACTATGGCTACAATTCCAACGCGTACAAAAAAATTTGGCGACTCATTTCTTGATCGTACTATCCGTAAATGGAATGTTTTACCCGCTCACGTGTTCCCTCCCTCTTACAACCTGGGATCCTTTAAAAGTGGCGTGAAGAAGCAACATGCAGACCGGCAGGGTGAGGATGGCTGGTGTGGCAGGTAGAACTGCTGTATCAGCTATCTTCGCGTCTGGATTTCACCTTCACTTAACATCAGGTGGGGTGGAAACATTTGTCGGACCTATCTATAAAAAAAAAACATGAACGGCATGCGCAGACGAGGGACTTTTCCCGCGGAGGACAAAAATCCCTCAATGTGAAGGAAATGTCCACCGACGACCTGTCACGGTCCCAGCGGACACTATGTGCGTACATTTGTTGCCCAAAAATCACACAATTCGCTTAAGTCACAATTGGACATTCAAACACGCTGCATGTGCACTCAATATAACAATATTTACTATATTCTGTGTTATAAAGATTAAACGACGCTTTTATAAAGAACACAAATAGTTCAAAATCAAATGCCTCGCAACACAATGCAACACTAAAAAAATAAAAAAGTAAAATCGTAAAAACTTTTTTATTCTTAGAAATCACGGTTTGTCGTGAATGTTATTTACGTAATCGCCATTTTGTTGTCAAGAAAAGGACAACAATACAGCTCAGCCGTGCGGACTCGGATGCGGACTCGTCGTTTCGCTCGCTCGGAGATTTGCCTATGTGGTTGAGACGGAGCATATTTTATTTGATACTAGTATGATGCTTCCCTTTTTGTTTTAATCAAAGCTATTGACTAACGTAACACTGGGCGATCTATCAATAACATACTTCTTGAAATCTTAAATGAAACAGCATAGTTCAGTACACAGTACACAGTTATGTAGTAGATATTTTTATTTTATTGCGAGAGAAAACATTAAACTGAATATTATTCTTGGTTTCTACTTATTTATATTAGTGTGAGTACTAGCAAACCAGTGAACCAAATGTTCACCAAAACCTGATTTCTCGAAAACCGGAAGTGCTACGTTACTCAAATCCGGTTTGTAGTCTTATCAGACTATTCTTAACTTATAACTTAAATATTCTCTTTATCTATCTCTTACGGTTTGGCCGCTGAAACAGCACCACAGACGGACGGACTTGTCTAATAGATAAGAGATTGCGTTTGCGCATCTTCCACTAGCTAAGCAAAATCTGGTTTCTAGTTTAAAATTGTCGAAACTATGACGCAGCTTAAAGTAATAATAATAAAAATAACAAATAATAGTAGTAATAATAATATCTGCTGCCCTAACCACCGCTAGCTTGGGCCTCGCTCCGCTGCTGGTGGCCTTCTGGGTTAGGTTTTTTATACTATATTTATTTTTGTATTTACGTTTTTGTATTTTACTTTTATATCTATTTTATAAAAAAATGTGTGCGTGTACTAGTGTACACACGTAAGAAGTGAAACTTCTTTATGGCCTTATTTTTTTCGAAAAATGATCTACATGCAACTTTCCAGAAATATATATATAGGCGTGCGCTAAGATTTTTCAAAAACTCACCCACTAAAGGGGTATAACTACACCTTACCTTACCTTACCTTACCTTACCTTACCTTACCTTACCTTACCTTACCTTACCTTACCTTACCTTACCTTACCTTACCTTACCTTACCTTACCTTACCTTACCTTGTGTGAAACACGAATATTTGCTGTCGATACTTTTTTTTTTTAAAGTTGACAGAAGAAGCAATTGTTCGGATGAGGTAAATAGTGCTCTTTTAAAAAAAAGATGGCGCGTAACCAAAAAACGTGACGCGTAACCGAAAAAAAACCTTTTTTTTTTTTTTTTTTTTTTTTTATGTTGGGAAAATGCGTTATGCATACCCCGCCGGTATGTGGCGGGGTTATGTGGGACTCCTCCTCCCCCCAAATCCCGCCCACCCGCCCAGCCAGGCTGGCTCGGCGGCTGTTCGGGATGAGGGGGGGGGGGCTACCCACTAAAAACCCAACAGTGCTCCCTCGTCTGCCGGAACGGGTTTTGTGGGATCCGGGTGACGCTCCACGTTACCCGGCAGAGGTTCCTCCTCCTCCTGATGGTCAGGGGGATGCCCTGGAGCACCTAGGCATCCTCTCTCGACGGGTGAGACTGCGCAACGCGAGCGACGGACTACCCTGTCCGCCGCCCGCAGTCCCACTAGGGTGGAAAGAGGCGGTCGTACTGCCGCCGTCTTCCCCCCGGTCGTCGGCGACGGAGAGGACCGGCCCGGGCGTCCCCCTCGCGGGCCCTCTCTGCTGTCTCCTTCTGTAGGATGACTTCCTCACAGAAGGAGACGACCGCGTTCCAGGATCTGTCGCTGTCCAGCATCGCTTTAACGACGCTGGGCAACGAGAGATCCCTTCCCACTGCCATGACCATATCATGGCGCTGCCGAGACCACGACAACCGAAAAAAACCTAACTTGTGAAATGAAATAAATGAGAGTATAATAAAAATACAGTATCTATACTGTGGTAATAATTTTGTGTCGAAATATAATATTCATTATCGTTTGAAATGATATCACTACAGAAGAGAGGATGAATAACGTGACAGAACGGCGATTGACAAATGATACAAGATGCTGCGTGCACCAATTGGTGATTACGTTGCGCAGTATCTCTTATCTAATAGACAAGTCCGTCCGTCCGTCCGTGGTGCTGTTTCAACGGCCAAACCGTAAGAGATAGATGTAGAGAATCTTTAAGTTATAAGTTAAGAATAGTCTGATAAGACTACAAACCGGATGTGAGTAACGTAGCACTTCCGGTTTACGAGAAATCACGTGATTTCTATTTCAAACGAAACCACACAAAATCTCCGAAGTTCTCAATTAATTAAATACATTTTTTTTTTTTTGGTGAACATTTGGTTCACTGGTTTGCTAGTTTTCTACGTATTTATATTTTTTGCCTTGCACGATCCGTCTGATCGAATAGGCGGGATTGACCGGTTGGCCACCCCTAGGGGCCATTCGGCTAACGGAAATACTTTGGAAAACGCTAACGTTTACGATTTCATTTTGTTATTTCTAGCCGCCTGAAGTTTTTAAATGCCTGATATTAAAAAAATGAGGTTGAGGTATTTGAAAACTTTCGGCGCGGCGGTTAGAAATAACAAAATAAAATCGAAAGCGTTAGCGTTGCCCAACGCATTTCCGTTAAGCGAAAGGCTCCCTGGTGCATAGCGAGTCCATAAAAAGTGTAAGCCACGGAGGTCGTCAAATCAGCCTTTACCTCTGCTCAGACTACGCTACTTGTAGGAATATAAGTCGCGGCACGAAACTTATTACGCAGAAGTAAAAATTAAGATGTGTTGGGGGAAAACGAGGTGCGCGGGTGGGCGTGCGTTGCGCCGATTGGTTCTCCAGTCGTACCCATGCGCAGCTATCATAGAGGTATAGATAATAACAATAAAGTAGGGGAGACATAGACTCTACTACGACTGAAAGTGCCCCTCTGATAGAAAGAGAAAGAAGATGAGAGACTGCTTTCTCTCTCTAATCGCGCATCATCATCAGCCTATTAATGTCCCCACTGCTGGGGCACAGGCTTCCCTATGGATGGAATAGGGAGATTGGGCCATGACCCACCACGCGGGCCCAGTGCGGGTTGGTGGGTGCTAACGACTGCAGATGCAGCCGGGACCAACGGCTTAACGTGCCTTCCGAAACACGGAGGAGCTCGAGATAGTAAATTATGATCACCCATCCAATGACCGACCACTGCGAAAGTTGCTTAAATTCAACGATCGCTGCGGAACGCGCTAACCACTTGCGCCATCGAGCTCCTCTTCTTCTAATCGCGCATGCGCATTGGCAACTGTAAGCATGTTACTATTTCGATGTGATGCCATTGGATGCCATGCGTCACAAGAGAGGGAGATAGCTAGCGGCCTTTCATCTTCTTTCTCTTTCTATTAGACGGTCACTTTTAGAGCCGCCTTCCCCACTCTATTGTTATGCCTCTATGGCGGCTCTCCCTGACGCGTTTTGTTCAGCGCTAGAGTTACATGCTACGGCCTGTACGGGAACATCTTATTACTCGTTCTTCTAACCTCCAGTTCGAGAGCAAAAACCTTAAAGTTTCTTATAGTTAGGTAGGCTCTACTCCATCTGATGTTAAGTGATGGTAAAGTCCAGACGCAAAAATAGCAACAGCAGTTCAGAACTGTCACACCAAACCTTGCCGGCCTGCAGATATGCCTTTCACACCTTTTTTAAAGGACCACAGATAAAACTAAATTATGAATTGGAATTACAGTACAGTAAACCGAAATTCTATTTAGTCCGTTAGTTAGATGATCAAAAAATAATGGACACGTATTGTTTCTTTGGGCAATCAACCAAAAAATGACAAAGTTATAGTGCGTCAAAGTTTGGGAGTAGGGGCTTGTGACGTCACTTTTTAGTGAATTTTCACTTAAAAGTGCACTCAAACGTGACGTCATGCGACTTTTCAAATCAATATATCTCTGCAATGTTTATATTATGTGAAAAAAGAAAAAATACGTGTCCAATACTTTTTGATAATCTACCTGATAAACGAAGAAAAAAAAATTAGTCATCATCCGTATTATCACTGAAGTCATTTATTAATTTAACGAGTATGCATGTAATAATACAGTGAGAGAAAAACAGCCCTTGCTGAATTTCTTGTCGGTTTTTCGCAGTACAAGGTCTCCCGCCGTAGATTTGCGGACCGATGGCGTAGCTTCTCGACCGTCATAAGTGCTTGTAACAGCCTGTGTTGATTTTATTTTTTTGTAGGAATGAGAGAACACGTGATGCATCTACCAGTAGGGTGGCATATGCGAAACCTTCAACCTATTAGTAGGAGAAGAAGGAATGTCCCGTTAAATTGTCGTTTCGTCGCTTCGATTGTTTTAATGTTGTGTTTTTTTTCACAGCAGCATTGGGTGACATAGCTGGTAGTGGCACAAGTTCCTCCTCATCGCATATGTCCCCAGGATGGCAGGTCAACGACCTGGATCTGGACTTGACCGGAGAGCTGAGCATGAAGTGAGTACAGACCATAGACAGTGTAGTAGACTAAGGCCCGTATTATAGAAAGATTCTCAGCGATTGATCTAGTCTTGAGCATAGTTAGAAAGGGATGTCGCTATATAGAGCAGATAGCGACATCCCTTTCTAGCTGTACTCAAGTAGAGATCAATACTTAGTTGTCATTTTGTAATACGGGCCTAAAAATTACCATCAGTGTAATTAGGTCCTCCCTCACTGCTGAGGTACATGCCTTCCTTATATAAATGAATATTTCTTACACTCACACCAATTAGCCTTTTTTTTTTTGATGACGGTGGAAAATGCATTTACGCACCATACCGCGCTTGCCAGGCGCGCGACGTGTGTAGGACTCCCCGGCGCGGAACAACGCCGGTCCTACCCTCCTACCCACTAAAAACCACCGGTACCCTCCACAGCCCTTATGAGGGCGCTCTGGAATTGTCACTACACCAGAGCGCACACCAATTAGCCTAGCCCCAAAGTAAGCACTGTAGGCTTGTGTTATGGGATACTAGGGTAACGGATAGAATACATATATTTGACACATATATAAGTTTATTTATATAGAAATATATATAAACATCCATGATTAAGGTACAAATCCAGAATCCTTGGATTCATCATACTAACAGTTGCCCCCACCGGTATTCGAAACCGGGACCTCTCGAGTAGGCGACACCATGAAACTCGTATATACCATCGGCCACGGAGGTCGTCGAATGATAATAACTTAAATCGTCAATGATAAATGATATGTTTGGACCATGATCCACCACGCGGGCCCAGTGCGGATTGGTAGGTGCTAACCACAGAACACAGAAAGAGGTTAGAAGGGTCTTCAGAGACCTTTTGTACGGGAACCGATGTCGCCGGCTCGCCCGCACTACACTTACACCTAATAGATATTAGCCAATCAAACGCCGTGATATCAAACAATCGAACCAATCGGCGCTCAAACCCCATCGCAACAAAGCAATCGTTGCCAAGTTTTGGTCAAGTTATGAGCATTTGCTCACAACTAACTGTGGCGCGCCTGTCCCGCCCACAAGGCCCTTCTAACATCTTTCTGTGTTCTGTGGTGCTAACGACTGCAGATGCAGCCGAGACCAATGGCTTAACTTTTTTAAATCGAACTCCATTAATTACTCGGATGTCCCTGAAGTGTCACTTTGTGGTAGTTCTTTAAGTTGGGTGAACAAGTTTGAGTACTTGGGTCATTGGGTCACTGAGGATCTCAAGGACATCATCGACATCGAGAGAGCGTAGGTCGCTGGCTGTGTGATGTAATATGTTGGCCTGAAGGTTTGAAAAGTGTAATCCTATATACCATAATTATTACAAGCTTTTTACAAGCTTTTATTTAACTTGCTATGTATGTTTGTTACGGTCAAATCTTACAACTCAATTTTAAAGCACTTGCCCTCAACCGATTAAGCTGAAATTTGATATGCTGGTTCAGTTCGGATGACAATGCATGCTTAACAGTGTGACGTCATTCTAAATCCAATATGGCGGCATACCCAAAATGGCGGACCAATCATTTTTAATGCATTCCTACAATATGGGTATCAAATTAAAGGGCTTGCTGAGAGTAACTCGAAAAAAATGTGACGTCACTCTCAATCCAATATGGCGGACCTCTAAAATTTGAAAATCTATTTAGAAACATACTTTAACTAAATTTTCTTTTTTTCTTTTTAGCGCATTTGAATAAAAGCTTGTTTTTAAAAAGGTTTTTGTACCTTAATTTTATTAACAATACCATATTCCTCCGAAACGGCTTGACAGATTTTTATGAAATTTTATATGCATATTCCGTTGGTCTGAGAATCTGCTACTATCTATTTTTCATATCCTTAAGTGATAATGGTTGTCTACCTGTAACGTAGTGTTCTGAAACCGCTTACAATGCGCCTTCGCGTCAAACTATTGGGTATTGTAACGTAGTGTTCTCATATGGGTTAGGAGGAATGTTATCCCAGGAAATTGATAGAACACTACGTTACACACCCTTAAAATTTTTTTTGGACAATATTTTTTTTTTATAATGTGGTATTAAAAATACATACAACCCTAAATTTTCTTTTCTACCACCTGCCTCTATTTTTATGGCGGTACGAAGTTCGCTGGGTCAGCTAGTATTTTATGTAATTCTCTATTATACTAACATATGTATTTATAAGTAAATTAAATGTAAGTAACACTAGTAGTGACATGATGTTATGCCCCTATTGACATCCAAAATATGACGTTTACAAAGACTTAGGTGTTAGTTTCAAATTGTTCACCACACTCTTAAAGATTCTTGTTTAAAATACACTATAAGTAAGTAAGTAAGTAAGTATGACGACCTCCGTGGTCGCCGGGTTTCATGGTGTCGCCGACTCGAGAGATCCCGGGTTCGAATCCCGGTGGGGGCAGATGTTAGTGTGATGATTACGAGCATTTGTACTCCAGTCATGGATGTATAATATTTATTTCTATATAAATATACTTATATGTACAGTATATGTATCCCATAACACAAGCCTTACAGTGCTTACTTTGGGGCTAGGCTAATTGGTGTGAGTGTTGGAAATATTTATTTATTTATTTACTTTCCAGCGATGCATTGCTGTCGCTGCCGTCCCTGGCTGTGTTCAAGCAGGAGGCTCCGTCTCCCACTGGCGCGGTGCTGTCGCCACACAGACGCGCCTGGCCGCGCCGCATCGACGAACGTCAGGTCGGTCCCACTGTCAATGATCTAGACGAACTTAAGGTCGATCATATTGTTGATTGATACTACATTATTTCACGGAATCACTGTTCATGTTCTCATTATCTACTCGCACCTGTTCTCGATACTTGAAGATTAAAACAAAAAGGGAAGATACGGTACGCTCATCATACTAGCATCAAATAAAATATGCTCGGACTCAACTACATAAGCAACTCTCACACACGTACATGTCTGTAAATAAACATTCAATTGAGCGAGCGAGATAGAACTGTACGCTTCAACGCAGCGCGAGCGAAACGGCGAGTCCGCGTCTTAGTATATAATGCGATTCAAATAAGAATAGGAAAGCCAATGACCTCCATCTGTCAAATGTCGCTTGAAAAGTACGGTTTGCAAAAAAATCTCGGAACACTTTTTTAGCACTCGGCTGATTCTAGAATAAAAACAATAACAAATGTTGATAATTAACATTAGTTGTTTTTTTTCATTTATTGAGCTTTGGCTATGAATGGTTGATAACCTAAATCGTCAAACAAATGTCACTTTATGGTGCGTTCAAAACCTCGATTTAAAACTTTCGTTTAAATATAGGATGCATGTTCGTATGTGACCTACATGATTATTCATAACTTCTCTGGCGGTAATGCAGAGATGGGCAAAATTGAAGAGCTAGATTCTGATTAATGTTTTTTTTTCACACAGTCTTATAATAAAGAAATACTATTAAAAATCGGTTGTGTTCTTTTACAACCTTAGTAAATTAATTTTATAAAAAAATCTGATGTTTTGTCTCACTTAATCTTAGTAAATAAGTTTTATTAAATAGCAACATTTGTTTGCTCACTCTACCTATTTGGTTTGAAATGACAGCTATGACGTCAAAATATGGCGCCCAGTTGGTCCTATTCTTAGTTGAATCGCATTATAGGTACGGATAGCAATAAGTCGTAAAATTTTACAAGCTTGCATTTCGAACTATCATAACTCTTTAACGCATGCGTTTTAATTCAGACCTTATACATTAATACATATACCTTTATTTATTTAAATAACCACCTATAAATGCATACATCTTTATTAAGGTATTTATTTAAATATGAATAAATAAATAAAGGTGTATGCATTAAATTTGACTTTCGATGTTTAAATAATGCCTTTTTTTTCTTTTTTTCTAAATGGCTTCGCACGGCTTGTGCCATTTAGCCAATGTCAAGTGTTAAAATGTTTACAAATATTATAGCACTCGTGGTCAAAGTAATAAATCAAGTCAAAGTAAGTGGCAGTCAAGTCCATCCCCCTTTCCCTATGTTTCAATAAAAGTGTGGGGATTTACTGGAACCTCCCCGTGGACTTCTTGAGGAAACGTCGAAAGACACTTTCCGCTATTTTGTTTCACTTGCCAACACTTGTGCATATTCCCGAATACTTAGTGGTTAATAATCCACCATTATTAGACACTAACAACCGCCACAACACAATTTTTAACAAGAAAAACAAAACTGCTAAAGTGACGTTTCCCGATCCCGCCAAAAAGTCCAAACAATGCCTTGTATTACTAGAAAAAAATCCACGCGGACCAGGCAGCGGACGGGACTCGAACCCGCATCCCTCGCTATCCGGGCGAATGCACTGACCATTATGCTATCACGGCCCTATTAGCCGCGTCGAAATTTTCCTACAATGCGAAGAGATGGCGCTGCCTTGCAGCTTAAGGCTAGGCAAATTTCGACGCGGCTAATAGGGCCGTGGTAGCATAATGGTCAGTGCATTCGCCCGGATAGCGAGGGATGCGGGTTCGAGTCCCTTCCGCTGCCTGGTCCGCGTGGATTTTTTTCTAGTAAACTTTTCTTTAGATTTAAACATCTAGCAGTTAAATGCTTAAAAAATAAATAAAATCATAATGCCTTGTATTGTTATTGACGACGCGATCATCTTACGGAGCTCCGTGGATCGTCCAATGTACCTTTCGGCCACGATTTTGCTCATGTTGTTGTATCTTATCTATTTAATATCGTGGACAGATGCCAACAATTGGTACTTTATTTTTAATACTGTCAAATAACCTTTCCCGTTAATAACAAACTAGAAACATGTGGATAAATATTATAAATATGAAAACAGTGATCAGAGGCGACGAGCGTGCCAACATTGTTTTTGACAACGCGATCATCTTATGGAGCTCCGTGGATCGTTCAAAGTACCTTTCGAACAGATGTCTAATAATGGTGGATTATTAACCACTTAGTGGTACCATTATTAGACACTAACATTCATAACGCGCCCGCGGCTAACTTCATTATGTTACTTTTGTGTTACAGTGATGCGCGCGCATCTTAAAATTTCACTCTCATATTTTTTTCATAACGCGACTAAAGAAGTATAACTTCAAAAATACCTAAACGCTTTATTGTTATGTAGATTTCGACCTATTTGTAATACAAAGTGTAAACAGTGCGGTCTTTGACCTATTGGAGGTCCTGGGCATATTAAGGTAATGGGGCCCCTACGAACTAGGGACTATGTATTTGATCTGAGGGAGGCCCCTTTCGATCGCGGGGCCCTGGGCACTTGCCCAAAGTGCCCACTGGGAAAGACGGGTCTGCGTGTAAACGACATCTCGCGGAAATGAGAAAAAATGAAAGCACTCAAGAGATCTTCGCTTTATTTCGCCAAAGTTCGCTTCGCTTTATTTGACGACCTCCGTGGCCGAGTGGTTTGTACGCCGGGTTTCATGGTGTCGCCGACTCGAGAGGTCCCGGGTTCGAATCCCCGGTGGGGGCAGATGTTTGTGTGATGAACACGAGCATTTGTACTCCAGTCATGGATGTTTGATATGTATTTCTATATAAATATACTTATATATGTACTGTATATGTATTCTATCCGTTACCCTAGCATCCCATAACACAAGCCTTACAGTGCTTACTTTGGGGCTAGGCTAATAGGGATGATGACTAATTTTTTTTTCTTCGTTTATCAGGTAGATAATCAAAAAGTATTGGACACGTATTTTTTCTTTTTTCACATAATATAAACATTGCAGAGATATATTGATTTGAAAAGTCGCATGACGTCACGTTTGAGTACACTTATAAGGGAAAATTCACTCAAAAGTGACGTCACGAGCCCCTACTCCCAAACTTTGACGCGCTATAACTTTGTCATTTTTTGGTTGATTGCCCAAAGAAAAAATACGTGTCCATTAATTTTTGCTCATCTAACTGACGGACTAAATAGAATTTCGTTTACTGTACCCCGTCATCACCCCTATTGGTGTAAGTGTTGGAAATATTTATTTATTTATTTATTTAAAGTTTAATCAACAACTTTGCGTTCTATCCTAAAGGTGACAAGCATGGTGGTGGACTCCAGGGAACCGATGGACGAGAGTGGATGCCACCAGTCTCCGCAGCATAACGGCAATATGATGCCACAACATGGTGAGTTACTATGCCAATGTGATGGAAGAAATGTTGGCAATGCTCGTAGAGAATGAACTGCGCCTTCCCTAACTAATACGGTATTTGACAAGTTTTAGAAAACGATCTCACGTTATTGACTAATGTTTATGGAGTCCGTAAATAGTGGGTATTCATCATTCTATTGTGTATTTCAGTAAAAATAACCAAATCAAAAACTCCATTTTCAATTTGTCGCGAAAACGTTTTTCTGGACAATATGGAGTCTTACTAGTGTGTGACGTCACACGACTGTTATTAAAACGTCAAACGATACAATGTAATGTCACTTTAACCGGAAGTTTACTTGCGTGTGACGTCATTTTAGGCTCCGCCAATCCCAAGCGTTCTGGGTCAATAGATAAGAAAACTATTATCTTTCTCGTGGGTTTTAAGTAAAATTATGAATATTTTGTTTTTAGAAATAGTAAAAACACCTGCCAATATTCATTCTAAACACAGATGCTAACAATTGGCACTTTATTTTTAATACTGTCAAATACCCTATTGTTAAGTAAAACTGGTCAGATAAGTATGAGAGAGACGAAGCCATAGTGCGGCCAATAGTTGGGAAAGGTATTGATTTCAATTAAAAAAACTATTTGAAGAGTAATTAATGAACGGAGAAATAAATATAAACATTAAAAGGGAAAATAATATAAAGTTAGAAGTAGGTAATGATGTTGTTTCAGATTCGTATACATATACTATCAAACATTTTCAATCGATATTTTTCTTCTATACGTAATACTAACTCAGCAAGCAACCAATGGCAAGTCAGTGTGCGATCCTTCATTAATTCCATATATATTAAACCAGTTAAAGCTAATGAGGTTCATAAAATATTAAAAAAAAACTGCCACGGAATAGATGAAGTGTCACCGAATTTGACGAGGCAAAATTGCATTGGTTTCAAATATATAATTTTAAATAAATTCATACATAGACAATAAATCTTTAAAAATCGGACAATGAAATAACCGAACGCTCAATAAAAGTCTTTCGAAGGTAGCTCGACAAATTAATAAAAGTTTGATTCTGACGACGTAGCCTGTAAGGGCTACGAAACGTCAATAAATAAATAAAGTTTCGTGCATTAACCCGTAAAAACTAGTTTAATTTAATGAGTGATGTGCGTGAAACCCTAAGAAACAAATATATATATTTTTTTGAATAGTGTATGCTAAAGCGATTAGTAGATTCTTGTGTAAAGTTTAACATAGTGAGACAACCACAATTTTTTGATTGATGAAATCCATCATAAAGAGTATAAATAAAAAATCTGCTACAACAACAATATTCTTTGACCTAAGTAAGGCATTTGATTTCGTAAAGCATAAATATCTTTTAAATGAACTTGAATCATGTTGATAATGTGAAAGTAATTGATGTAAGTAATTTGTAATTAGTCACTATTCACGGGAACTCTGCCGACAAACTTTTGTAATAGTTTGGCAGATATTTCATTTATAATCAATGTGTGCACATAGAAAATCAATAAAGAAAATGTTTTTATGATTGGTTTTAGGATTTGTGCTATAATTACAAAAAAAATATTATAATGGAATAATAATAATAGCAATTAATAATGACAATGTAACAATGTTGAAAATAATTGGTATACAGTCAATAATTGGTATGCAGTTTTTATGCCTAAACAGTGGGACACGGCATTCCTAAACTTTTTTCATTTTTAAATCTGTTTTTTATATTTTTTATTTTATAGTCATAATTGTTTTATCATTTACATTTGTAATGGAAAGTGACTTCATGGGTTATCTCATATTGAACTCATTTTTCAAATTGACGACTCTGTTTAAAATACAGGGAGAAAAAAACAGCCCTTGCTGAGTTTCTTGCCGGTTCTTCTCAGTACAAGGTCTCCCGCCGTAGATTTGCGAACCGATGGCGTAGCTTTTCGACATTCACAAGTGCTTGTAACAGCCTAGACTGAATAAACGATATTGAATTTTGAATTTTTTTTTTTGAAACCGTTTACGACGACATCAATTCAATGACCGACCATTGCTAAAGTTGCTGAACTTCCCCGATCATTTGAGTTTTTGTTCAGTATTATCATTGGCTATTACTTCTTTTTGGTGACCGCCGTGGCAGAGTGGTTTATACGCCGGGTTTCAAGGTGTCGACTACTCGAGAGGTCCCGGGTTCGAATCCCGGTGGGGGCAGATGTTTGTCTGATGAATACCAGCATTTGTACTCCAGTCATGGATGTTAAATATGTATTTCTATATAAATATAATATACTTATACTAGCTGACCCAGCGAACTTCGTACCGCCATAAAAATAGGGGCTGGTGGTAGAAGGGTGAAATTTTGGCTTGTATGTATTTTTTAATGCCACATTACTAAAAAATAAAATTTTGTTCAAAAAATAAAAATAAAATGTTAGGGGTGGAGAATCCTTATCACTTAGGGGTATGAAAAATAGATAGTAGCCGATTCTCAGACCTACTGAATGTGCATATAAAATTTCATAAAAATTGGTCAAGCCGTTTCGGAGGAGTATGGTAACTAACATTGTGACACGAGAATTTTATATATAAGATATATACTGTATATGTATTCTGTCCGTTACCCTTAGTATCCCATAACACAAGCCTTATAGTGCTTACTTTGGGGCTAGGCTAATTGGTGTGAGTGTTGGAAATATTTATTTATTTATTCTTCATTCCTTTAACAGCTAGCCCTGAGAATATGCAATGTCAGCCGATGTCGGGGGGTGCTCTTATGCCAACCAATGGATACCACTCGCCTACTCCACAGGAGACGAAGAGTAAGTAACTATGATACTATGTATATATCTATGCCAAAACCGCTAGAAATATAAAAAAAACGGTTTTGAAAAACTTTGATATTGACGTTGTGCATTTTTGATATTTTGGAATGGTTAGGGAATCATTTTGCACGAATTGCTTTAATTATCAGTATAAAGGAACTATCATTTATGTGGTAGAATGACAATATTTATTTATTGCGCTATCGTACGCAAACATGACAATTTATATTACATTAAAAAGTTTCAGTGTCAGTTTCTCTCAGAAAAATCAACTTACATGAATCACATTTAAGCGCACCTAGCGACATCTATTGTAAAAAAAATGCATTTTCTTCGCAATAAAGCTGCCACCTGGACGTCCTAATTAGAGACTTATTATTTATGTTTTGTCCAATACATTGGAATAACAACCTTTCCAATTTTATTGTTTTCGTCAGATCCCCGATCAGGTCACGTGTCATGACGAAACATTTTTATCCATACAGAAAAAAGTGTACAACGCCGCTAAAATAGTTTTCACTTTAAACATGCATTTTCTTCGCAATAAATCTGCCACGTGGACGTCCTAATTAGAGACTTATTATTCTATTAATATAAAATAAAATATTACTATGTTTCGTCCAATATATTGAAAGTCAACAACCTGTCCAATTTTATTGATTTCGTCTTACGAATTTAGCGATTAGGTCACGTGTCCGGACGCGATCAGGCCACGTGTCCTGACGCGATCAGGCAACATGTCCTGACGCGAGTTTAACAGTTTATACCCATTACAAAAAAAAGTGTACGAAGCCGCTAAAGAAGTTTTCACTTCAAAAAAATATATAATGCACGGAGTACACATCTGAAGTGAATTTTCTTTTCTTATGCCGCTTCTATACGTTGACAGATGCATCTGCGGATGCGTTCGCCAACGTGTAGACGGGCGGGAAAAAGTTTCTAAGTAAATATTCGGGTGGACTTTTTGGCGGGATCGCGAAGCGTCACTTTAGCAGTTTTGTTTTTCTTGTTAAAAATTGTGTTGAGGCGGATGTTAGTGTCTAACAATGTTGGATTATTAACCACTAAGTGTTCGGGAACATGTACAAGTGTTGGCAAGTGAAACAGGAAAGTGTTTTTCGATGTTCCCTCAAGAAGTCCACGGGGAGGTTCCAGTAAATCCCCACACTTTTACTGAAACATAGGCAAAGGGGAATTGACTTGACTGCCACTTACTTTGACTTGATTTATTACTTTGACCACGAGTGTTTGAGTATTTCTAAACATTTAACACTTGACATTGGCCAAATGCACAAACCGTGCAAAGCCATTTAGAAAAAAAATAAAATAGGTCGAGTAAATTAAATCTATTTGACCGTTGGCCATCCTGATTTTTCTGTTTAGCAAAGAGTTTCATTTAGGCATTAATTGTTGAATATCTTTTTATCCCTGAATTCCCAAGGGAACGGGAACTTCGCGCGTAAAACCGCGGGGCGCAGCTAATAATAACATGATTTTATTTGTTTTTTAAGCATTTAACTGCTAGATGTTTAAATCTAAAGAATACGGCTAATAGGGCCGTGGTAGCATAATGGTCAGTGCATTCGCCCGGATAGCGAAGGATGCGGGTTCGAGTCCCGTCCGCTGCCTGGTCCGCGTGGATTTTTTTTCTAGTAAACTTTTCTTTAGATTTTTCTAGTAAACTTTTCTTTAATAATAACATATTAGAGCAAAAATGCTGAATGTATTTTAGGCCATGAGAGCCATAGTGGCCTATCTAATTTTTTAACCGTAGTGGCCTATCTTACTTAGGCCAGTATGGCACCTCAAATTTAGATCACAGACTAAAAACCCAAACAGTGATTATGCCGCCATCTAGTGAATATTAGTTGTGTCACTTTTAGACCACTCTGGTTCTATCAAAGTGATCAATTTGAACTGGAATAAATCATAAACTCAATTTTGTAAAAAAAATGAGTTAGGCCACTATGGTCCCCATGGCCTCATTTTATAGATAACTTGCTATCCTCATTTCTCGTCGTAGAAATTGAATTTCAAAATAGTATGAACCGCGTTTATTTTATGTTTCAGTTAATTTTATCTAAGCCAAGTTCCAAAGCTGTCAAGCTAGCCAAACTCGTTTTTCATACATACTTTGAACCTACTGTATCACCCAATTCACGGTGGAATATTCAAATATCCTTTCTCGCTTGGTGCCTACGTCATATAAACAACATATTTACTAAATATCATGTCTCTACGACCAAAAGTGTAAGCGACGCACTATTTAAAACTTCAACATGCTATTACCTTAGTTTTATGAGGGTAGTTTTGAAAAAAAAATGGTTGCCTGTAAAGTCGGTTTTACGGGCGAAGATTTTACGTGACAACGTCTTTTTCTCGGTAGAATATTTATTGATATGAATATAATTAAATTGCACAATAGGAACAAGGAATTGAATGAAAATAAGAATTGCACAAATTTTAACTATAGAAATATATTTTGTTTACTAAAACATTGTACATGTAAACTTAAACTTAACACGAGAGACTCATCGTAACGTTACCGAGCGTTACACTTTTTCATAAGTGACTCCCAGCCGCAACCTAATTTAAGACGTTGTCACGTCAAAATGAAAATTGAGATAGAATTTTTATTTGATACAGAGTAGGTGTGCAAAATTTTTATAAATCCTATGCACTTTTAGATTATCTCCCATACTAATTTTGACACGAAATTTCGTAAAAACATGCAACACGCTTTGACTCTAAAGAAAAATTTACAAGAATAAATTCCACGCAGACCAGCTACATGGCACAGCAATCCGGGCGAATGCACTGTGACCAATTATGATACCGCGGCCCTGATGGCCGTGTCGAAATTTCTCTAGCCTTAGGCTGCAAGGCAGCGCAGCATACCTTTAGAATGCTACTAGCAAACCAGTGAACCAAATGTTCACCAAAACCTGATTTAAAAAAAAATGTTTTAATTAATTGAGAACTTCGGAGATTTTGTGTGGTTTCGTTTGAAATTCGTGATTTCTCGAAAACCGGAAGTGCTACGTTACTCAAATCCGGTTTGTAGTCTTATCAGACTATTCTTAACTTATAACTTAAATATTCTTTTTATCTATCTCTTACGGTTTGGCCGCTGAAACAGCACCACAGACAGACGGGCGGACGGACTTGTCTAATAGATAAGAGATGATATTTCTTCTTCTTTCAAATGTTTAATACTTCTAAAGGTATGCTGCGCTGCCTTGCAGCCTATGGCTAGAGAAAGTTCGACACGGCCGTCAGGGCCGCGGTAGCATAATTGGTCAGTGCATTCGCCCGGATAGCGAAGGGTGCGGGTTCGAGTCCCATCTGCCGCCTGGTCCGCGTGGATTATTTTCTAGTAAACTTTTCTTTAGATTTAAGCATCTAGCAGTTAAATGCTTAAAAGAAATTAAAACAAAAGAAGACGGTTTGAGTTTTGTGGCTTCACTTGATTTCTTAGAGCAAACCGTAGGGGGATACGACAGCTCTTCTTTGTATCTCTTCTGAGATTCGGAAGCGTGGTTATTACTGAAGCCATAATAGGGATGATGACTATTTTTTTTTCTTCGTTTTATCAGTTAGATTGTCAAAAAGTATTGGACACGTATTTTTTCGTTTTTCACATAATATAAACATTGCAGATATATATTGATTTGAAATGTCGCATGACGTCACGTTTGAGTACACTTTTAAGTGAGAATTCACTAAAAAGTGACGTCACGAGCCCCTACTCCCAAACTTTGACGCGCTATAACTTTGTCATTTCTTGGTTGATTGCACAAAGAAAAAATACGTGTGTAGGAAGGCCAAAGGGGAAGATCTTCCTCCGAGCTGGGTGATTTTAGCTCGGGGGCCGCGGCCCGACTGATGTTGGTCGGGCATCGTATATATGAAGAGTTAGCCTACGAATTTCATTTGCGCGATGTAGGCTTCCATACTATTAAGATCGCAGTGCAGGTAACGCCATCTCTTGAGGATGGTGAGTAATGATTTCCTCCATCCGTTGTATATATGTGGGGCATATAGATGTCGCCGCCACACGTGTCCATTATTTTTTAATCATCTAACTGACGGACAAAATAGAATTTCGTTTACTGTATGTCATCACCCCTATTCTATATTTCTTTCTTGCAGACGCTGGTTTGTTGATGTGCTCGCCAACTAGTTCATTAGACGGGTTCCTGCATTCACCAGCTCCGAGACCTGAGCCAAGCTTCAAGGATGACACCAGGTATGTTAGACTAATAATCATCATCATCATCAGCCTATTAATGTCCCCACTGCTGGGCCACATGCCTTCCTTTTGGATGGAATTGGGAGATTGGGCCGTGACCCACCACGCGGGCCCAGTGCGGATTGGTGGGTACTAACGACTGCAGATGCAGGCGGGACCAACGGCTTAACGTGCCTTCCGAAGCACGGAGGAACTCGAGATAGAAGATTTTTGGTCACCCATCCAATGACTGACCAATGCGAAAGTTGCTTAACTTCAACGATCGCAGCCGAACGCGCTAACCACTGGCGCCATCGAGCTGCTCAATACATCTATACCGTTGAAAATTGTTTTATTTAATTCAATATTTTTAGGAGTCAGGGCCTCTTTTGATTTTTATACCAGTATTTTTCTAATAAAGGGTTTTTTTTAATTATTTCATACTAACTGCTAGATGTTTAAATGTAAAGAAAATTTTACGAGAAAAAATTGCACGCGAACCAGCCAACAGACGGGACTCGAACCCGCACCCTTCGCTATCCGGGCGAATGCACTGACCATTGGCCTACCGCGGCCCTGAAGGCCGTGTCGAATTTTCTCTAGTTTCTTAAGCTGCAAGGCTGCGCCATCTCTTCGCATTGCAACAAAGATATTAAATACTACGTGCTCTCAAAATGTGTCCCTACTAAGTTTTTGAACACTTCTTGGTTCACGAACGTTGAAAAGTCAAAATGCCGCTGAGCACCGTAAAAAAATGCGAAGTAAATACTTATAGTATGTAAAATGTCGTTTTTTCGACAGGTATCTAATCAATGTTTGTTTATTTAACGCATTTGAAACAAAATTGTCTTGTTATGTTTTTATTTATTTTTAAGCATTTAACTGCTAGATGTTTAAATCTAAAGAAAAGTTTACTAGAAAAAAAGCTGCCTTGCAGCTTAAGGTTAGCATAATGGTCAGTGCATTCGCCCGGATAGCGAAGGGTGCGGGTTCGAGTCCCGTCCGCTGCCTGGTCCTCGTGGATTTTTTTCTAGTAAACTTTTCTTTAGATTTAAAAATTGTCTTGTGCTTTAATACTTACTATACCCTGATTTAATAGAAAATATTTGTGATATTCAAATGCATGGTTGGTAATATAGCCGTCTCTTTTCCTCGCGGTCCTTGCCTGCTATATTGCTAACAGCGCATTCAGAATTGCGCGTAGAGTCAAAGAAATAAAGTCTATATTATTCCGCATATAGCAATAAGTCGTAAAATTTTACGAGCTTACATTTTGGACTGTCATAACTCTTTGACGCATGCGTTTTAATTAAGACCATATATAGTGTACTATAAAGGTGTTTTTAATGTATAAATAATGCCTTATATTGTTTAGACTACGCGATTATCTTACGTAGCTCCGTGGATTGTCCAATGACCCTTTTGGACAGGTTTCGGGCATGATTTTGTTCGTGTTGGTGTATCTAGTATCGTTGTTTTACAAGTATTCAGCATTTGAAAGAAGAAATAGCAATTATGGTATTGAGCATTTAACTGCTGTGTTAAAATCTAAAAAAAAAGATATTTTAGTTATGATTTTTTTTTAAGCATTTAACTGCTAGATGTTTAAATCTAAAGAAAAGTGTTTAAATCTAAAATCATAACTATAATTGCTATTTCTTCTTTCAAATGTTTAATACTTGAAAAAGTATTCATATGACATTGTGGGTTACCTACAATGCGAAGAGATGGCGCTGCCTTGCAGCTTAACGCTAGGAAAATTTCGACGCGGCTGATAGGGCCGTGGTAGCATAATGGTCAGTGCAATCGCCCGAATTGCGAAGGATGCGGGTTCGAGTCCCGTCCGCTGCCTGGTCCGCGTGGATTTTTTCTAGTAAACTTTTCTTAACATATTTTAGTTTTATTTTTGTTTCAACATTCAAACTTATTGAGTTGTCATTTTGTCCACAGATTCCAATACGTGTTAGCAGCGGCCACTTCAATAGCCACAAAACAGAACGAAGAGACACTCACTTATCTGAACCAGGGACAGCCATACGAGATTAAATTAAAGAAGCTGGGCGACTTGTCGCATTATAAAGGGAAGCTTTTAAAGGTAATTTGAGCCTTGTAGCAGTATATTTAGAGTTTATTTTGTCCCACACAGTATCATCATCATCATCAGCCTATTAATGTCCCCACTGCTGGGGCACAGGCCTTCGCTTTGGATGGAATAGGGAGATTGGGCCGTGACCCACCACGCGGGCCCAGTGCGGATTGGCGGGTGCTAACGACTGCAGATGCAGACTGCAACGGCTTAACGTGCCTTCCGAAGCACGGAGGAGCTCGAGATAGAAGATTTTTGGTCACCCATCCAATAAACGACCAGGGCTCAAGTTGCTTAACTTCAACGATCGCAGCCGAACTCGCTAACCACCCGCATTAATCTAAATTGTTGCCAAATGTTCACAACATTATTTTAATTAGAAATAAACCCGCGTAGTCAACCAACAAGCAATAACATTAGCCTTTTGACATTTGGTCGTTAGCCCATATTCGGGTGTATATTCATAATCATTTATTCAGTGTAGGCTGTTACAAGCACATATGAATGTCTAGAAGCTACGCCATCGGTTCGTAAATCTACGGCGGGAGACCTTGTACTAAGAAGAACCGGCAAGAAACTCAGCAAGGGCTGTTTTTTTCTCCCTGTTTTATCATTTACAGAGTCGTCAAGTTGAAAAATGACTTCAGAGATGATTCATGAAGTCGCCTTTCATTACATAATGTGAAATTATACATTAATTGTTTACCTGCATTTTGATTACTGTATCACACAGTATAAATACAAATAGAGTTATTTATAAAAGGTGTAATTAAACATTTACATCTAAAGAAAATATAACTAGAAAAAATTCCACGCGGACCAGGCAGCAGACGGGACTCGAACCCGCACCCTTCGCAATCCGGGCGAATGCACTGACCAATTATGCTACCGCGGCCCTCACGGACCTATAATGTTAGGTATATAATATAATGTAATATAATGTGGGTTTACCTATAATGCGAAGAGATGGCGCTGCCTTGCAGCTTAAGAATAGCTAGAAAGAATTTCGACGCGGTCCGTGAGGGCCGCGGTAGCATAATTGGTCAGTGCATTCGCCCGGATTGCGAAGGGTGCGGGTTCGAGTCCCGTCTGCTGCCTGGTCCGCGTGGAATTTTTTCTAGTTATATTTTCTTTAGATTTAAACATCAAGCAGTTACATGCTTTAAAAATAATAAAAATTATAAACATTTACATCTCAAATATCAAAGTAGTTAGGGCTTGTGGGTTACCTATAATGCCAAGAGATGGCGCTGCCTTGCAGCTTAAGAATGGCTAGATGAATTTCGACGCGGTCCGTGAGGGCCGTGATAGCATAATGATCAGTGCATTCGCCCGGATTGCGAAGGGTGCGGGTTCGAGTCCCATCTGCTGCCTGGTCCGCTTGGAAATTTTTCTAGTTATGTTTTCTTTACATTTAAACATCAAGCAGTTACATGCTTTAAAAAAAATATAGTTAGGGCAGACTCATCGCCGCTGGCAGCACCCGTTCACGAGCATGACGCATGAACCAGCCATCACTTCGCTCAACCATATTTTAGGGAACGTAACGACCCGCCTCACACGACACCGTATGGAAGATATTACTCGAATTCGGGCACCCAAAGCAATATTAACACTGGACTACGGCCTGAAAGATGGTGTCGGGTAAACAAAAGGATATCTCCCCAAATACGGGAGCACTCGACTCCGTTCATATTATTATACACTTAGTCGTTTACCCGAATACCATTGGCACTCGTATTCGGGCAAACGATCAAATGTAATCGCGTCATTACAGTACTTACTTTGGGAGTGGGGCTAGGCTAATTTGTGTGTGTGTTAAGAAAAAAAAGCCCTTCCGTGCTTCGGAAGGCACGTTAAGCAGTTGGTCCCGGCTGCATCTGCAGTCGTTAGCACCCACCAATCCGCACTGGGCCCGCGTGGTGGGTCATGGCCCAATCTCCCTATTCCATCCATAGGGAAGGCCTGTGCCCCAGCAGTGGGGACATTAATAGGCTGATGATGATGATGAAGAAAAAAAATGATTTTCGGATAGCTGTGCGATGGTGTAGGGAGTGACTCATAGGTTAACTTTAATACAAAATCGAAGAACAATTATACCGTATGCTGATTTTAGGCATTAATCATAATCATCATAATAATCATTACTTTAATGATTACTCTTATTTGAAACTCTCCCATCTCTCTATTGTTTAGAGTGTGATCAAGATTTGCTTCCACGAGCGTCGACTTCAATATATGGAGCGGGAACAAATAGCTCAGTGGCACGCGGAGAGGCCCGGCGACAGGATCATAGAGGTAAATATAAATGATCATTATAGCTATATTAATTAATAATAAAAATATGTGTGGTACCAGATCACTTCCTTGTGGAAATCCATTAACATTTATTATTATAATCATCATAGAGGTTAATATAAATCATCATTATAGCTTCAGTATAATACAGATTGATATGTTATCAGCAAAATTGTTTTTTTGATAATCATATTTTAGAGGTGATTAATTAATAATAAAAATAAGAGTGGCCCCAGATCACTGCCTTGTGGAACTCCATTAACATTTATTATTATAAACGTAATTATCATCACCACAATCAATTTAAATAATATGGCTCTACTAAAAACATCTTCCTTTCTTTCCAAAATATAAATTCTAAATCAACTAACGACCTCCGTGGCCGAGTGGTTTGTACGCCGGGTTTCACGATGTCGCCGACTCGAGAAGTCCGGGTTCAAATCCCATTGGGGGCAGATGTTTGTGTGATGAACACGAGCATTTGTACTCCAGTCATGGATGTTTAATATATATTTCTATAAAAACATACTAATATGTGTACAGTATATGTATTGTATCCGTTACCCTAGTATCCCATAACACATGCCTTATAGTGCTTACTTTGGAGCTAGGCTAATTGGTGTGAGTGTTGGAAATAATTATTTATTTATTTATAATTCCATTTGATCACAGTTGGATGTCCCGTTGTCTTACGGTGTCACGAGAGTGGAGCAGCCTTCGTCTTTAAACGCATTGAATGTCTACTGGGACCCAACTAAAGATGTCGGCGTTTATATCAAGGTTAGTAAACTATAATAATTGGATTTGTTTTTTTTATAGCCAGGTAGGCAAATGACTCTACCCCACCTGATGTTAAGTGGTGATAAAGTCCAAACGCGAAGGTAGCTGGTACAGCAGTTATAAACTGCTACACCAACCATCCTCACCTTGCCGGCCTGCAAAAATGCTTCTTTACGCCTGTCTTAAAGGACCCCACCTGTACTAGTATAAAACATTTAAAAGAAGAAATAGTAATAGGGGTGATGACGGGGTACAGTAAACGAAATTCTATTTAGTCCGTCAGTTAGATGATCAAAAAATAATGGACACGTATTTTTTCTTTGGGCAATCAACCAAAAAAATGACAAAGTTATAGCGCGTCAAAGTTTCGGAGAAGGGGCTCGTGACGTCACTTTTGAGTGAATTTTTACTTATAAATGTACTCAAACGTGACGTCATGCGACTTTTCAAATCAATATATCTCTGCAATGTTTATATTATGTGAAAAAAGAAAAAATACGTGTCCAATACTTTTTGATAATCTACCTGATAAACGAAGAAAAAAAAAATAGTCATCATCCCTATTGTGTGATTCTTAAGTTTTCACGCACACCATTCATTAAATAAAACAAGTTTCAGCGGTATAGATGCACTGATTTATTTATTTATGACGTTTAGCATCCTTTTTAGGCACGTCGTCAGAATTATTCTTTGGCTCGCGTCCCGTCTGTTGCCTGGATCACGTGGATTTTTTTCTAGTATAGTTTTATTTAGATATAAATTCATCTATATTCATACACTCAAGGGCGGATCCAGCATCCAGCAATTCAATAAACTTTTTTGTGGCCAACATTCTAAAAGAAAAGTTTTTACTGTGTGACAATACTTATAACCTGACTGTGTATATATATACTGGCTGACCCAGCGAACTTCGTTCCGCCATAAAAATAGGGGCAGGTGGTAGAAGAGAAAATTTAGGGTTGTATGTATTTTTTAATACCACTTATAAAAAAGTAAATATTTGCCCAAAAAATTTTAGGGGTGTGTAACGTAGTGTTCTATCAATTACCTGGGATAACATTCCTCCTAACCCATATGAGAACACTACGTTACAATACCCAATAGTTTGACGCAAAGGCGCATTGTAGGTTTCAGAACACTACGTTACAGGTAGACAACCATTATCACTTAAGGATATGAAAAATAGATAGTAGCCGATTCTCAGACCCACGGAATATGCATATAAAATGTCATAAATATCGGTCAGGCCGTTTCGGAGGAGTATGGTAACTAACATTGTGACACAAGAATCTCTTTATATATATAATTCTTCTGTGAGTGTGTATGTCACTGAACTTCTCTTAAACGACTGGACCGATTTTGATGAAATTTTTTGTGTGTGTTCAAGGGGATCTGAGAATGGTTTAGATTCACAATTTTGTCCGCTGGACAATGTTTTTTTAATTAATTTTTAATTTATTAGTAGTTGTTGATTTTGGAATGTTTTACATTGGATCCGACAGATGGCTATGTGTATATTCCTGTCAAACATTTGACGTTCGTCGTTTATCATTTCTTCCAAATTATTGTAAGCAAAACGAAGTACGCTGGGTCAGCTAGTTTTATATATAAGACTAGCTGACCCAGCGAACTTCGTACCGCCATAAAAAAATAGGGGTTGGTGGTAGAAAGTTGAAAATTTAGGGATGTATGTATTTTTGTATGATGTATCATAAAAAAATTTAAAAAAAAAATCTAAAATTGAAAAAAAATAATTAGGGGTGGATTACCCTTAACATTTAGGGGGATGAAAAATAGATTACATCCGATTCTCAGACCTACTGAATATGCATATAAAATTTCACGAAAATCGGTCGAGCCGTTTCGGAGGAGTTTAACCGCAAACAAAGCGACACGAGATTTTTATATACTAGATTACATTGCCCAGGTGAACTGCATATCCACGGAGTTTACGGCCAAGAAGCATGGCGGGGAGAAAGGTGTCCCTTTCCGCATACAAGTGGAGACGTATCTCGCTACCGAAGAGGATAACAGGCTTCACGCTGCTGCTTGCCAGATTAAGGTAATAAGATCCTATCATCCTACTAATCTATAATATAAAAATGAATCGCTGAATGTGTTGCTAAGCGCAAATTGCGAGACAAGCTGAACCGATTTCGATACTTCTTTATTTAGAACTAGCTTGTGCCCCGCGGTGTCACCTGCTGTTTATTAGGGATATTTTCCCGCAATAAAACGTAGCCTATGTGTTAATCCAGGGGCTCAGCTAACTCCATACCAAATTTTATTAAAATCGCTCAACCCGTTTAGACGTGAAGAAGTAACAAACATACACACTCACAAACTTTCGCCTTTATAATATTAGTCTGATATTCCTTGAAGTACGAGGATGGTTCTCACGCAGGGAAAAAATTAAAAAAAAAAATTGCCTAAAAAGTCCAAAAACAACAATTTTCTATGCTCCCATTCAAACGATTCGTAATAGTACTTCAAAGTCAATTTGAACTTTAATACCATACCATAAATTATTTCAAATGTTAGTGGAGAGGTTCCGGGAAGGCAAAACGATTGAGTGACGTGATGCCAATAGAAGTTTGGAAAAGGCAAATATACCATTTTCAGAGTCATTTTAGTCTACAGCTCTGCACCGAAGCGAAGCGAGGGCGGGCCACTAGTTACTAATAATTACTTATCACGAATATACTATTACAAATAATCCTACAAAATCGTCAAAATCTGTTCAGTACTTAATGTGTGATTGAGCAAAAAACATACAGACAAACAAACATACATCATCATCATCAGTCTATTAATGTCCCCACTGCTGGGGTACAGGCCTTCCCTATGGATGGAATAGGGAGATTGGGCCATGACCCACCACGCGGGCCCAGTGCGGATTGGTGGGTGCTAACGACTGCAGATGCAGCCGGGACCAACGGCTTAACGTGCCTTCCGAAGCACGGAGGAGCTCGACATAATAAATTTTTGGTCACCCATTCAATGACCGACCACTGCGAAAGTTTCTTAACTTCAACGATCGCAGCCGAACGCGCTATCCACTTGCGCCATCGAGCTCCTCAAACAAACATACAAACTCTCACATTTATAATCTTAGTAGGATGTAAAAAAAATTGCATGTTTATAACTCAATCACGCAAAAACTACTCAATGGATTTGGATGAAATTTGGTACGCATATGGTTTATGACCTGGAAAGAGGCGCAAGATGCTTTTTCTCCCGGAAAATTTTAGATTCCTGTGGGATTCTCAAAAGACTGAGTTGGAGTCGCGAATTTGAATTTTCCTTGTCATAATTTGATAGAATTTTTACATACAGACAGCTAACAACCCGGAAGAGACACGGGATGCCATTTATTTGGAAAATGTTAGTTTCCTGTGGGATTCTCAAAAGACTAATTAGGGTCGCAGATTTGAATTTTCCTTAAATAAAACTAGTTTTTACGGGTTAATGCATGAAACACCGCGGGGCACAGCTAGTATTGTATAAATCTATATATATAAAACTCAAAGGTGACTGACTGACATAGTGATCTATCAACGCACAGCCCAAACCACTGGACGGAGCGGGCTGAAATTTGGCATGCAGGTAGATGTTATGACGTAGGCATCCGCTAAGAAAGAATTTTGATCAATTCTAACCCCAATGGGATAAAATAGGGAATGAAAGTTTGTATGAAACTTTGTCAATTTTAAACCGATCGGGCTGAGACTTTGCATGCAGGTATAAGAAGAATCATAGATGAATGTCATTGTGTATAATACAAGCCTGAGAACAAAAACTGTAGTCTATACTTCAGCTCTACACCGAAGCGAAGCGAGGGCGGGCCGCTAGTAAGTAAATAAATGTGTTCCAACTCATAAGCTTTACCTCTTTTTTTTGTATGCAGGTTTTCAAGCTGAAAGGTGCTGACCGGAAACACAAGCAGGATCGTGAGAAGGTTATGAGGAGACCAAGACCTCATCTGGACCATTACCAGCCTGGATGTGATGCTACTGTGCTTACTACGGTAATCACAACAATATTTGAAAAGCGTCTCAATTCAATTCTGAACAGCTCATCGAATGTCGATTCTGGCAGGATTCTCAAATCACAAATCTAAAGGACATTGACGAAATCGGCCCTAGCATGCCCAAAAGAATGTCCTTCACTATTTTGATTTTCTATTTTTTTTTTATTTATTAAAAAATAAAAGTTTTGTTACTAGATACTACAGTCTGTTCATCTTAACTTATCCTATTTGGTAAACAATATTGGCACTCGTTTTTTTTTGAAAACACAGCATTAAAAATCTTTTACGTTTAAGTATAGTAATTATTACCTCCAAATCTAATACATTCTGTAGAGTAGGCCACGGTTCCTCAAGTTGTCCGTATCTCAACAAATGCCTAATTAGAGTTTATGAATGATCTCGAACATAACTAGTATTTTCTCATTGCTGTGCGTTCTAGGGCATTCAATGTATGGGGAACGAGCAATGTCCTTTGACATTAGGCTGCCCTTTTCATTATGTATAGAGAACGATAGATAGGGATACATGAGTTCCTCGGTGCTTCGGATGGCACGTCAAGCTGTTGCTTCCGGCTGCATCTGCAGTCGTTAGCATCCGCACTGGGCCCGCGTGGTGGGTTATGGCCCAATCACCCTATTCCATCCATATGGAAGGCCTGCGCCCCAGCAGTAGGGACATTAATAGGCTTATGATGATGTTGATGATTTTGTTGTTTAGCTGCGATTGGACCTGAGTTAATGTTATAATATTTTGTTGTTCAGCTGTCCAATGACGCGCTGATGCCACCACCATCACTGGTAGCCGCTTCGCCACCGTATTCGCCGCAATTATGGTGAGTACCCATTTATTTTAATATCAATTTCTACAAATCTAGCAGTTTAGTGCTTAAAATAACAACTTAATAAACTGCAATTCTTATTAAATAAAACTAGTTTTTGTCCAAAATTAAATGAAAAATCATTCTGACGAAGCAGACCTGAAAAGGCTGCGAAACGTCAATAAATAAATAAAGTTTCGTGCATTAAGTCGTTAAAACTAGTTTTATTTAATAAGAATTGCAGTTTTTGTCCAAAATTAAATAAAAAACCATTTTGACGAAGCAGACCTGAAAAGGCTGCGAAACGTCAATAAATAAATAAAGTTTCGTGCATTAACTCGTTAAAACTAGTTTTATTTAATGAGTGATGTGCGTGAAAACAAATATGCAATTCTTATGTTAATAAAAGAAAGAAATGGCTTAAAATTGGTTACACAGTATTTTTTGTCTCTGTTCATCGAATTCCTTTTGCAACGGGTGTCAAGATATACAACATTTTGATTTGTCATCAGCATATGGTATGCTTTTTAGAGGTTATTAATAGATAATAAGAATAAGAGTGGTCCCGGAATACTAACTTGTGGAACTCCAGCTTGGTTAAACATAACTCTATAAAAAGCGTGATGCACCGTCAAATCGGAATTCCTCAGGAACCACAAACCAAAACTGCACCTGCCCTTGAATCAGACTTTTTAACTTTGCTCATAGAAGTTCTTTACACCGATATCAGGAAATGTTTCTTGCTATTAAATCCTTCTCAGCCTTTTTATTATTTTTCCGATTCCAATATTCACTCATGCTCGCTTAAATGTGATTCATGTAAGTTGATTTCTTTACAATAGATGTCGCTAAGTGCGCTTAAACGTGATTCATGTAATTTGATTTTTCTGAGAGATAAACTTTTTTAATGTAATATAAATTGTCATGTTTGTGTACGATAGCGCAATAAATAAATATTGTATTCTACCACATACATGATAGTACTTTTATACTGATAATTAAAGCAATTCGTGCAAAATTATTCCCTAACCATTCCAAAATATCAAAAATGCACAACGTTAATGTACAAGTTTTCTGCCGGCACTCCCGGAGTGCAACCCGTCTTTTTTTTTTTTTTTACTCTGGCCTGGTTGATTTATTATATAACATTCCTCTTCTCTGATCCTATTAGTAAAAATTCTTCTCATTGTTTATATGATTCCTAAAATTGGTTTCTCTACCTTTCCCACTAGAAGTGGCAAATACACAAGCCGCGCAAACCAAAAAAAAAGTAGCTACACTATTTTTTTTTGCATCTTTTGTTGGTCTGCGCTCCTTTGATGTGCGCTGAAAAACCGACAACGGCGCGGTAACTCGTGTTTGTATTTGCCCTGTTTGCTTAATATGCGAATGGAGCAAATGTTTTGTCAAATGAACTTACCATACTTGGCCACAAACATGTCAATAGCAAAAACCATAGACTTACTTTTCAATATCTATTTTAATGACAAAAAAACCATCCACACCTGGCGCCAAATAACGCGAAACCACAGACAAGCGAAATGACAATCAATAGTTTTTTTTGTGAAATATTTATTTATTTGTATAATAAATATGTATGTGTATTACACATACATATTTTAAAGACCATACACGAAAACTCTTATGGTTTATGTGTGTATGAGAGCCACTCCTTTACCATTTTAAACACTATCAAGTTCACTATTTTGTAAATAATATCCTTGTTTATATTTATTAACTACAGTGTTCGAGTACATTTCCTGTAAATTCCTAGGCAATTCATTAAGATAGTAAGTTATTTAATAACAAAGCTTTCTATTTCCGTGGACATCATTACATTTCGGCAAAAAATACTTTCTACGATCCAACACATTTATTTAGATTATCTGACCTTTTATTAATATTCAAGTACATATTCTCGCTCGTTACATTTGGTTAGAATGACGTATTTTATTTTGTCATAAACATCCGTTACATTACAATAACGAAATAATATATAATAGGAGTGATGACGGGATACAGTAAACGAAATTCTATTTAGTCCGTCAGTTAGATGATCAAAAAATAATGGACACGTATTTTTTCTTTGGGCAATCAACCAAAAAATGACAAAGTAATAGCGCGTCAAAGTTTGGGAGTAGGGGCTCGTGACGTCACTTTTAAGTGAAAATTGTACCAAAACGTGACGTCATGCGACTTTTCAAATCATTATATCTCTGCAATGTTTATATTATGTGAAAAACGAAAAAATACGTGTCCAATACTTTTTGACAATCTACCTGATAAACGAAGAATAAAAAAAAAATAGTCATCATCCCTATTTATGTTGACGTTTGTCAATAAAGCATATGTTTTGTCAATCAAATTACCCATACTTGTTGGATATCTGTGCCCCTGCAGTGGGGATATTAATAGGCTGAAAATGATTATTGTTAGCAGTAAATAAGGGGATACGCGGTTATGACAATAAAACCAGTGACCTAGCTTAACCCCACAATTTCCGGTACTAACGAACCGAACCGGCGCTGTCCGGTTAAGTTTATTCTACATTCGGATCGGACGGCCCGGACGGTTCTAAATTTAGACTCACAATTGTCACTAATTGACCATTCATCGTGGTATATGAGGGGGCAGAGTGACATACGTATGTTGGTAGCTGACGTGAAATATTTCTATATGTGACAAATTGGCCCGTAGTAGCCAGTTATATTAACGACTAGTGGCCCGCCCTCGCTTTGCTTCGGTGTAGAGCTGTAGTATAGACTATAATTTTTGTTCAAAGGCTTGTATTATACACAATGACCTTCTTCATAATAATTATAACCTACCTTCCATTCCAAGTAAAAAATTCGTTGCGTAGTTTAGGACCCGTTGTGGCGAATGCCACATTCCTCAGCTGTTCTGATTTGAAAAAATCTTTTTGTTTTGGACAGCGCATTTATCGAGGAAGGTTATAGGCTATATTACCACGCTACGACCAGTAGCAGCCGAGCATCGATGAAAAATGTTGCAAAACGTTTAAAAATATACCATTTGTGAGATCCGTTGCGTGCGCTGCGCTGGGTAAACGGTTAAAGTTACACAAAAATCATGTATGACGGAATTCTTTCCCTTTAAAAGTTCTGTAAAAAAGCACATGACAGCCTATGTCTATATTTTAAGTATGACTCACTATAAACCTATTTCTATAAATTAACGCGGGTGAAACCGCAGGGTCTAGTTGTGACATAACTGTAATAGTTAGACATTTGGTAACGCGGACTTTTTTGTAGATATTGGTATTCTCTATAAAACTTTAGTACATCACTTTGCTCTATTGTCAATGACTTCCGCAGCGTACGCGATATAAGGCTATTTTTTGGTATTTTTTACACACGTTGGGTTACATTATCGAAGTGTTCATACGGAACCCTAACTTTTGTTGAAAATACACTATAGCCTATATTTAATGAGTGATAATGTATCATTCAAATGGTAAAAGAATTTTTAAAATCGATTCAGTACTTTTTGAGCCAATTCGTTACAAAGATACTTACATACAAACCTCTCCTCTTTATAATATTAGTATAGATAGGGCAGCAGTAATTACAGGTCAGGTAGGGCATAAGAAGGGCGTGGCGACCTTCGCAGCCTGCTTTCGATTTAAGGTAGGGTTATGGTATTTTATGAGGAGTATTGCTCCAGAATGCTCCCCCCGCTAGCTACGGCCCTGCCTATGCACAGTATTTTCGTTTGAGTGGCCATTGGTTTTACTATTATAAATAAATAGGTAAACCATATAGGTACTGAGCTACTCTGATGAGTTCTTAAAGAGCAGAGAGGTATAAAATACTTACGCCCATTTTAATGGTTCCGAACACGGACCTGAAAAAAAGAGGTCTTTTTTTTTAGATCCGTGGTTCCGAAGTCGACCAACAGCAGCGAACCCCATAAAATAATTTCGCTATGTCCGAACTGTAATTTTAGCATTGAGATAACATATTTAGATCCAGTTGGTACCTACTTAAAGATAAGATTAGTTACAAAATTGGAAAATCTTAAAAAAATATTAAAAGTTTGCAGTTCCTTTTTGTTAAAAACAAACGACAGTCGATTAGTGAAGTGATGAAATCAACTTTGACTATTATTAGTCGATTTTTTATTTGGTTAAACAAAAAATATTTACTAATATTATTGTAACGAAAATATTTCATGAATGTGACTTTAATTCTTTAGGCAAGCTCTGATAAAAGGAGAAGCATTTTTTTTTGAATTCTTTAGATAAATTCTTAAAACATAAAAGAAGAAGCATTGATTGCAAACATGTGAAAAACTAAAAAAACAATGCCAACTTTTTGTTTGATGTGGTTCTGTCACTGTATTGTCAAAATAACGTGACGACTACATTCTGGTGATGTTACCATGGAAAGGGTATGTCAAATTCTGAACATACAATTAAAGGGCGACATTGTTCACTGCATCAGTGCTATTAAGATTCCCAGCGACTAATTAGTCTTGCACAACTCTGAATTGCGTAATTACGATTCATTCTGTAGATACGTTCTAGTTGATCCAATTCTCATCTCGATTCATGTTCTATCATAAATTTTAGAAGAGCAGGTTGTGTAAGGAGTTAATTTAAAAGTTTTCTTTTGATGTGACTAAGTATAAATTGAGAAATAATAAAAAATAAATAAATATTTCCAACAATCACACCAATTAGCCTAGCCCCAAAGTAAGTAAGGCTTGTTTTATGGGATACTAGGGTAACGGATAGAATACATATACTGTACACATATAATATTTAAGTATATTTATATTAAAATTCATATTAAACATCCATGAATGGAGAACAAATGCTCATATTCATCACACAAACATCTGCCCCCACCGGGATTCGAACCCGGGACCTCTCGAGTCGGCGAAACCATGTAACCCGGCGTACAAACCACTTGGCCACGGAGGTCATCAACTGTACGATGAGGGTGAACAATGAATTGAAATTATACCTACGTTTTTCTTTATTTTTTAATATA